CGGACCAACAAACATTCTGCTTCTTAGGCCTGGTAATCTGATGATAGCAAAGCAACAAAATAAATAAAACAACTCCCAACACCTTCATCTCAAATAAACTACTACCCCCCCAAAAAAACGATGTTCAGGTACGTCGTGGATGCAATCTTACGCTGACGACCCGTAAAATGTAGATAAGGGTTTTTAATCACCAGGGAACGACAAAGCACATCAAGGAATGTTTAGGGGCTATTTATTTATTTATTCCTTCTCGTCTCGACTCTTTGTTGTTGATACCTTTCTAACCGGCGTGCCCAGTGTAACAGGAGCCGTTTTGAGGATGTGGGAAGGCTGACATTAATCTACCGGATCAAAGGGCCCAATCAATTATACATGCCATGGTGTGGTTACCTTGACACCAACTCTCTTTTCAACATTATAATGCAGTCCGCCAGGAGATCATATACCCACGTGATGGATTTTGCTGATTTACCAGCGTTTAAAGTTGAGGTTTTTTTTCAGGTTGGTAAAAAAGAAAAATCCTTACAGATCATCGTACATACCAAATGTGCCCGGCTTCGATTGTCTTATTTCCCAAGTCTCTAAAAAACAACCAAGAATGTTAACGAGCGCTCGAATGATTGATGCTCAATCTCATGGAGTAGCATTATTATGATTATTTCCAGGCGTGCAACCGGTTTGTCAATTAATGCGAGCGCTTTGGAGCATCGTTAATTTTTTTTTTGCCGCGTGAAACGGCACGCGGCAAGTCTCGCTGTGATTTATGCACAGTATTTCGTAATTTGTGTCATGTTCCGAACAGGAGTGTAAAAGTCACAATTGGTTGTAGGAAAATCGATTCCGTCTGAGCATGGCTGTATTGTCTCTGTCAGCTGCTGGCGCCACGTTAACATATTACCACGCAACGCACAGTAAGAACACAAGGTTCCGAAAGAACATCAATTCCAACTTTTCAAGTGCCTAGATGCGTGCACGGTATCATGAACCGAAGCATTGATATCAATCAATAAACTGTTCCACCACCGAATCATGAATATGTATGAGGATATTTTTGTGAGCGTTCACAATGTGCATTGCAACGCAATTTCTTCAGTTCATCTTTAATAAAATGCACAATAGCATCAGATATTCTGTCCACGTTACAAAGTGTCTATGGCTCCTGCGTCATTGTGTCAAACAACCTTCAGTACTGAGAGGGATCCATAATAGAGGTGTTTTTTGGTTAGATAGCGTAAATATAAATGCGTCGTCAAACCCGCCACCACCCAACGCAGCCAATTAGTTAGGCTTTTCACGTAAACAAAACTTGCCAATTAGTTACTTCTTCAGCACACCAGTGTGTTGGAGAGTAAACTCACGAAATTGTAACTTTATAACTGTACATTTTGGCAAATTTAAAGCAAAAATACCCGCGAATTACTCGATTCAAATGAACAGAGCAATGCCTCACCGCCGAGTGAGGACACCTAGACGGAGCCTCCTGAATAATCTGTGAGGCTTTCCTGGGTAAACAATCGTAACAACAACAATAATACGTTAATCATATTTTTTTTGTATTGTTATTGAGGTATGTATGTGTGTGTGTGGTGTTTAACGCCAATGACAGAGGCCTTGAACAACTGTGATAATTAGCATTTTAAAAAAAAAAAATCTAAAGCCTCCAAAACATCCGCTGGGACCGTGGCGTGCAAATACGTCGGCAATTAGCGAAGCTTCTGAAGACGGGAGGGAGGTTAGACACGAGGCTGAGCAGCCCAGCGGTTGGCGGTGGGGCACTGAACGCCCGCGGTGGAGGAGTGAGGTGGGGAGGAGGCACAGTGCCGGGGTTGGGGGGTCAAGATGGAATGAGGAGATGCCGAGGTGCGTCCACGCAACGTCCTCGCTTAGCGCGCGGCGACGTTCACACTGCAACGCGGTTTCGCTGTAACGCCGTTCTTGCAGGAGGGAACTACTTTTCGCGCGACGCGGAGCGCACGCGCCGCTACGACGTGGAACGCGCGCACCGTGATGACGCGGTTTCTTAGCAGTCGACGAAGAACTACTTTCATGAGCTGCACGGCTGAGTTAGTGTGATACGGTGACGCGGAGTGATACGGTGACGCGGAGTGATACAGTAACGCGGCAGCGGTACCCCCGGTTATTTGTCCCGCCATCTCACTGCGTGGTGCGTAGTCGTAGTGATGCGTTGCGTCTTGCCGAACTTTATCGTTACATCACTTATGGAGATATTGTTTCCGCTTAATGCGTTTTTCCGCTTAACGCGTTCAACGAGAACCTACTGTATCCAATTTAAATAGCTGACAAGTTAATGTTCAGCATTTCTGGCCCCTTCCATGCCCATAAAATTCAAGTTAAACGCATTTGCGAAGGTCCATGAGCTTATAGCTGCCACCTGTCCAGGTGTGGCTTGGTCCCCAATCCGGGAATTGGCGTCTGTGTCCGGGTGGCAGGAATCGACCTGGACAAAGATCCGGTCCCCGGTATCGTCGCGTTGAACTTTATTGGAGGACACTTCACACCTTTGGTAATGCGTCTCGGGTGGGTGTCGAGACGTGTGTCCGGGCTTGGGTCTGCAGTGGTGAAAGGTGGCAACGTTCAGAAGCTCTCGGCCTTGTCCAGACCACCGGCTCAAAAGAACTGAACGTGCGGCCGAGCCGCCGCCACAATGCGGCTCATCGCAGAGCAGGCGGCGGCGGAGAGACGCGACTGTCGACGGGTTTCGTCCTCATTTGGGACTCGTCAGCAATGGAGCCATCGATGTTCACCGCCGCCACATGCCCCGTATATACGGAATAGGAGGCTCATTAGCACTCCCCTAAGGGCAACAATGATCGCCGTGTCAACGTAGAGCCGTGCGTAATCCGCTTCGTAGCTGGTGGCGGTGCGGTGGTGGTGGTGGTGTGGTGGTGGGTGTTGGTTGTGGTGCGGTGTTGGTGGTGTGGTGGTGGTGGGTGGTGGTAGTGCGGTGGTGGTAGTGCGGTGTTGGTGGTGGGTGTTGGTGGTGCGGTGTTGGTGTGGGGTGTTGGTGGTGAGTTGGTGGTGCGGTGTTGGTGGTGAGTGGTGGTGGTGGGTGTTGGTGGTGCGGTGTTGGTGGTGAGTGGTGGTGGTGTTGGTGGTGATGTGTTGGTAGTGGGTGTTGGTGGTGAGTGTTGGTGGTGGTGTTGGTGGTGAGTTGGTGGTGGTGTTGGTGGTGAGTGGTGTTGGTGGTGCGGTGTTGGTAGTGGGTGGTGGTGGTGAGTATTGGTGGTGGTGTTGCTGGTGCGGTGTTGGTGGTGATGTGTTGGTGGTGAGTGGTGGTGCGGTGTTGGTGGTGGTGTTGGTGGTGCGGTGTTGGTGGTGAGTGTTGGTGGTGAGTGTTGGTGGTGGTGTTGGTGGTGAGTGTTGGTGGTGGTGTTGGTGGTGGTGTTGGTGGTGGTGTTGGTGGTGAGTGGTGGTGTTGGTGGTGCGGTGTTGGTGGTGGTGTTGGTGGTGGTGTTGGTGGTGAGTGGTGGTGTTGGTGGTGCGGTGTTGGTAGTGGGTGTTGGTGGTGAGTGTTGGTGGTGAGTGTTGGTGGTGCGGTGTTGGTGTTGGTGGTGCGGTGTTGGTGGTGAGTGTTAGTGGTGGTGTTGGTGGTGAGTGTTGGTGGTGGTGTTGCTGGTGCGGTGTGTAAAACGCCAGCACTCGGGGGGGAGATAAACGTGGTCGGTGGTGGTGCTTTGCCGTACCAGCACTGCGTGGGCCGTATGCCACTCAATAGCTGCTCGCTGACAGATCTTACCGCAGCAGCCAAGAAGGCCGTGCGGAGGCGGGGAGGGGGATCTTCATTCTTACACGTGTGTGTTGATACACACGTGTGTGTGCTTTTATACACACACGTGCGTATGAAAACACACACATACGTGTGCACGTGTGTGTGTGTTCATACACACATGTGTGTGGCGTACATGCGTGCGTGTGCGTGGAGCACATTTGTCGCATTAGGTGTCGAATGAATCAATATTCTCGAGTGTGTGGAGCATATTGCTGAACACAACAGATATCCGTTGCTATTTGTCACCGGCAATGGTGAAAATAAATATCCACTCTCCCGTACATCGATTCCCTTGCAAAAAGGCCATTGCCCCATTTGTTCCTCTCTTTTTCCGAAATAACATTGCCAAGAAACGCGAGACGGCAAATCTTAAATTATAACGCACACGAGGACCTTTCATATACAAAGAGAAATAAGGCAAAGTGAAATGGATGTGTCTTTTCACGTCTGCCTTTTCTTTTCACGAGAGAGAGAGAGAGGAAATAATTCAAATAAATAGCCACAGCGTGACAAGTGCCTTCGGAAAAGAAATGCGCCCATGTGGCCTCCAGAATATCGTTGTTTAATCACCGCACACTGGCTGCTACGACATAAGGACGTGTGTTGAACTTCTTTCGCACCGTACGTGAACCAGCCGTGTTGATCGGAGGTGGCGGTCATCTGTTAGCCGTGGGTTGGTGGATCACATCTCGCCACGGTGCAAGATGTTGACGACCTCGCGCGGCACACAGGAGGTCGTGGGTTCGATCCCGACCCTGACGCCTTTATATTTGGAGTTTGCGTGGCCACGTAGATTGTTTTCCTAGTCCTCCCGTTTTTCCTTCCACATTTATAATCATCCGCTTGGAGTATTTGGTTGCTATAAATGTCCACACGATAAGCTACTTCATTGAGCTATCATTTGTGGCCTGCTCGTTTGTTAAAAAGAGCTACATAGCTCAGTAAGCCTTATGCGGTAAAAATAAAACATGGTTTAGTTTCGTCGTGTTTGAGAGACAGGGCCGTTCTAGCCATGCGCGGTGCACGGTGCCATCCTCACCCTCCTCCACCCACCTCCTCCACCATGGGGCACCACCGCCCCACCAACCCCGTGAGCCGCCAGCGACGTCAACTCCACGTCGCCCCGCCAACATCGCCCGCCTTGCCACGCCATCACCGCGTGACGCCGGTGCCGTCTGCCCGCGCGTGTGCGACGTTCGCGCGTGCGCAGGCGAGGAGCGGATCGGCGTGAACGCGACGTACGAGCAGGAGGGCAAGGTGCAGTTCGTGATCGACGCGGTGTACTCGATGGCGCACGCGCTGCACAGCATGCACCTGGAGCTGTGCCCCGAGTACGTGGGGCTGTGCCCGCGCATGGACCCCGTCAACGGGCGCGAGCTGCTCAACTACATCCGCAGGGTGAACTTCACCGGTGAGTCGTCGCCCGTCTCTTACCAAGCCGCCTTCGACTCCTCTCCTCGCCCGGCCGCGCACTTTTCCAACGAGCAAGCCACCTGCACACGGAACTCGGCTGGTGAAATAAGATTATATATTTTTTTGTTTCAGTTGAATTTTCACTGGCTTCGTCACTCCATCTCCCCGATTCGGAAGTTTCAGAGGTTTCCTCCCCCATCGAGTGAAGCCCGTTGAGCCGAGAAGCTCCTTTTTCAAGGCCCACTCGGCCGGCAGTAAAGATCAAATCATTCGACAATTTAGCAGATTTAAAAAAAAATTGGATAATAGCTAAAAAATTCGCTGCAAAAGTTACACTCACACGCAAAACGAAGTGATTTTTTTTACATATCTAAAAGAGTCAGTTTAAATGAGGACAGAGATGGTAAAAATGGAGATGCCAGGAGATAAAACTGAGGTCGTTCCAAAACTTTTCGTGCAGCCACGTTCAATTCCCTCGATCCAAATTGCGTGCGACATCTGGGGAACTGTTAGCAGACAATCAGACGCGCGTTGCTGATTATATCCTCTCGCGCGTGCTTCATTCCTTGGCTGCTGCTCCGTTATTGTCCTTGCCCCGTCACCCATCTCACGCCGTCCTTCCCAAGCACCCACTCGCTTTTCTTAACGGTGTTGATGATGCCATGAACCTGTGTGTATGTGTGTGTACGTTCTCTCATCCACGTGTTCCTCACGCAAAAGCCCCGTTCATTTGCCATGCTCACCCAGTGCACTTTGAGTTTTGTGTGATCCAGCAAATTACCTCGCTCTTTCTGAAGCACGTGTCGTAGCAAGTATAATGCACTTACTAAGCACTTCATTCGCAATGCAGCGCTGATTTACACATTTAGACAGTATTCCTCTTTCACATGTCTGTCTCTCCAACCGGTATTTTCCATCAGCCAGAGGCAGGATTCTTCTCTCTGATTTCTATTTTCTTAATCACTGTCGACCTACTCGTTTTCACGCTATTGACTTTTTGCAATCTTGGTGATGCAGGGCAAGTGAAGTATCAGAGGAGCAGGAGAATGGTAGGAAATATTTAGCAGAGAAAAAACATGAAATATGTATTATCATTATTATTGATATAGGGTCCAATTTTAAAAGCCTGGAATTTCAGGATAGCCTCCCTTTCTCGCCTCATCTGGGCAGCTTTTAGATCCGCCTCTCCCGCGGTCAATCTTGCCCATGGGGCTCATCCTTGTCACTTGAGCTCTCAGCTGGTTGAACAAAAGAGACTTGAAACGTCTGGAGCGGAGTGCGTCATGTGCGGTTCAACACAACGCAACTTTGCTCGTTGCATGCGTAGGCTATCGTGAATAGATTTTTTTTTTGGGTTGGATCGTCATGTTGGTATGATTCAGATTTTTTTTTTACTCAAACCCTTAATCACCCGACAGAGCCAATGTGGTTAGGGTTTTGTCACGTTAACAAAACGAGCTAATGTATTACTACTTCAGCACCACCGGTGTGATGGAGAGTAAATCCACCACACCGGGAGTGTGCTGTCCAACACCCGGGGGTGCTGAAACAATAACACATTGGCACGTTCTGTTCACGTGACTAACATTACTAATCGGCTGTGTCGGTTAGAGGTTGGTTTGTACGATACATTAATATTTTTAGGTAACCATTGTAGATATGCACTTTTACATCTAAATTGAAAACGCATTTCTTCAGAACAGCTTTTTGTGTTTAGTTTGTTGCCCTTCCCCCCCCCCCCCCACGCACCTCCGATTAGCGCGGTTGGCTATGTACGGTGCGAAAGAAGGTCAACGTACATGAATACATACGTACATTTAAGCAACCTTTAACCCAAAAAAAACATTTTATCATGAACAATCATGTCCGGTTGTCACGTGGGCAAATATGCAAAGTTGATTGGTTTGCGAAATCTTGTGGCGTATCCTTGTGAGCGACGCGTGCCGATGGATGGCTGCCCGCTACCATGTGCGTGCCCACAATCGGAGAGTTCCATCGAACCCCGGCTGGCAACAGACTCTTTCACATTATCGACCAGGTCTGGATTGCCTCATAAGCAACATGGAGAGATGGTACAGAAGCAAGTGATGGTATTTTTCGAGTTTGAAATGTAATTTGCGAGAGCCAAACTTTTGTTGCAGGGATTTTTGTTGCTGTTGTTGTTTCAATATTGATTTATGTTCGTGGAGTATTTTGCATTTCTCCCGCAAAGCAGTTGCTGTGTTTTTTTTTTCCCCCCCTCTCACTCTCTGGTTTATAACTTTGCTTCACTGCTTGTACTCGATTGATGGTTGTCATTTCGGTGACCCAGCTCGGTCACTCTCGCAAAAAAAACGACACCCATCCCTGCCCTCTTGACCTCTCGCCCGGCTAAAACAAATACAATTGGGAACCGCATCGTTCGAAGGGTAAAAGGCGTGGCCTCGCGACTGCATTGCTCACGCCGCCGCGGTTCCTGCTGGAAGCGCTGCTACGATGAGGCGTTCTGGGCATCCCCTCTTCGATTTGGGCATCACCGCGGCATCTATCTTCGTTGCTAGGCCTTGCCCGTCACCGTGCAGACCCCGCGTGTCACACCTCTCGTGACCTTCCCATCAATAACATGATAGGTAGGGGTCGATCTTTGACCTGCATGTGGTTGGAACAGTCCAGAAGTAACTCCACGTGCTAACTCGATGCCTGAGAGTAATTAACTTTTTATATATATGTATATATATAAATGTGTGTGTGTGTGTATATATAAAAAGTAAAACAAGATAAAGGTGCAACCTTGCAATTGCTTGCTCACACCACTGACGGCGGATGAACCTCCACTAGAGGACACTCTAGAAAGCCCCCTCTAGATGGTGATTTGGCCTACTGTTCCACACTGGTCACATACCTCGGAAGACGCGGCAGTGTCCACGCTTTAACCCACCCCACGTGACCTGCCGATCGGCTAACTGTGGTGTGCCCGTTAATCCTGCACACCGCGACACGACCGCAGTGCTTTCACTGTTGTTCTTCATATTCACACTGTAATTTCTCCCTGTGTTAGTCAGTTTGTCAGTCAAACTACTCACTTGAGTTTAAGCCACAAACCACCACTTGTTATGATGACTGCGATGATGATGATGATGATGATTTTAGTGGTGGTGGTGATGGTGGTAGTGGGAGCCTGGGCCGCGTCTCTTCCCACTGATGATCGTCCCGTGACCATGGCCTCCCTTGTAATTCAAGCACCATTTATCATCAGGGCTTCCCGAATGTATCCATTAAGATAAAAACAAACAAGCAAAAGCTCTTCGCGACGCCTCGGTATATACGGACTGCATGGCGACGTCAAAGTGAAATGTCCTCTATCAGACAAATAAGGTGAGACGCACGCATCCCCTGCTCGCAGCCCTCAGCCACTACTGACCATTCCACACTCGTATGGCAAGGGCAGGTGCGAAACACTGGACAGTCAACTCTCTTTTCTCCCACAAAATGATTTGTCATTTTAGTCACCCCAGAGGAATGACGATGAGCAGAATCTCGTGACCTTGAGATTGGATTGCACGTTTGGACGCACTGGGTGAGACAAGTGCTTCTGACTGAAATTTCTTATTCCACGCCCGCAGTATCATCAGTGGTATAAACTGTAGTTTCATTTCGATCGGAGCTGTCCGGGGCTTTGTTCTGGAAAATAGATCTCCCCCCCCCCCCCACCCTTGCCTCAACGCTATTGTGGTGGCAAGCTGACGACCTCCACACCAAAATATCCCGCGAGAAATTAAGCGCCGGTCTAACACCTTCAGATTTGCCTCTATCACTGCGTTGCTGGTGCAATTTCCAATCCAGGCTGCCGCGAAGGTCTGTGCCTTTTCTCGCGAGATTAATTAGCGATATGCCGAAACATGAATTCAGCTTCACTCTTACGTGTGGAATAAAATGCCTTTTGTTCGCCGATGGTGTATTTTCACTTAAAATATAGGCTCTTGTGTGTGTATATATATACAGCATATATTTAGAGCTGTTCATGAGAACCAGAAAAAAAATCTAGATTTGCGTGCCTGGTGGGAGACAAGTGTTCCCATTTACAAGTCTCCTGGTGAGAGTTGAGGGCCTTAACAGGTATGATGATTATACCTCACTGCGCTGATATGTGTGCTCATTCTGGTTACATGGACTACTTTAGTTTGAGCTGTGAAGGGATAAAGGCTGGCATATATCCAAGGAAAAAGATCCCCACGCGTAGCCTGAACAGACTTTTGGCCGGTACGATGCGCAAAGAGGAGGAATGGCGAGCACCACGCCCGGCCGCCTTTGTCTCCCCAGTGGCGATGTTTACACAGCGCATCGGGTACTCACTTGAGGTTGCGTTAACTTAGTGGAGGCCCAGGACCGGGTTCAGGTAACCGTCACTCGGTGTTGGTGGCCGTGAGCCGGAATCGAACTCGGGTCGCCGGCTTCATAGCGCAGCGTGCCCAGCGACGAGACACAGAAGGTCAAAACCGGTCCCAGACTTTGCTCGCTTGGACAGTTGCTGATTGATCATATTGGTCTCAAAAGCCACTTGGGTCGATTTGTTAAAATACGCATTTGCTTACATGTGGAGACAATGAACGAATGTATTGTTATCGAGTAGTACCTGCTTGAAGGTCAGAGTGTTACACAGCAGATGCCAAGTTCTACGGTGTGTGCATTCTTGCAAGGGTGCTTACACAGTCGCGGACCCTTAATTTGTTTGCGAGGCGAGCTTCGTTTGCACGAATTAGCACGGCTCTGCCATGCACCGGTTAGCTTGTGTCCTCCTCGCTCTCAGCCTCAACGGGCGACTCGGGAGCGACCCACTGTGCGTACGTACGTTGAACTTCTTTCGCACCGTACGCAGCCAACGGTGCTTTACGGGCGGTGCTGAACTTTGCCAAGAATTTGGTGCGGGAGAAATCTACTCCGGAGCAGCCCGGCGCATCTGTTCGAGACACGGACACGGACATTTTCACTTAAAACTCTCCAAGCAATCGACGAGGCACG